AAGATGCATGTGAGATCTAGTTCCCTGACCAGGGATCAAACCCAGGCCCCCTGCATTGGGAGTGCGAAGTCTTAACCGCTGGACCACCATGGAAGTCCCGGTACTCAGTAAATATTAAATGAGTGAGGTAAGGAAGGAAAAGATGTCTTTTTCTCCGTGCATCTGGATGATCTCCAGCCGGCCCCTTAACTCGGCTCCCCAGCTCTCTGGGCAGGCATCTGTAGGTTGTAGGTTGCAGCCCACACACAGGGAAAGGCCCCTCTGAGTCTAGGCTCTCTAGGGAGCAAAGGGCCTGGCAAACTCTGGGCAGAACGTGAGAGGAAGGGAGGGATGCCAGGTGTCACTGGGAGCTTCTCACCCGGGCTGTGGTCGCTGCCCTAGCAGGGTTCATTTATAACCCAGCTGCTGGCCCTGCCCTCCAAACAGCCCTGCTCCTGGCTGCACCCTTCCTCTTTCCCTTCTCCCCCCCCACCCCTCTGAGTCCACCCTCTATCCTGCTTGCCCACCCAGGGTGGCTGGCAGCACTTAGAATGGACAGAAGGAGAGTGCTGGCTACAAGGGCACAGGCATTTAGGGTTCAATGGGGCTTTCGTAGAGCACCCTCTCTGGGTGTATTCTGGCCTTGGACACTGGAGGCCACCCTAAAGGCACCCTCTTCATCTCCCTGCAGCCTTGGGATGGGCTCTGGGGTCAGCAGTCCTGACACTGGGGCAAGGCTTGCCTCAGCCTAACCTATTTACATAGTAGCGATTTTTTCATCAGCTCAAAAGTATTTGTACTCCAAGATTCCAACTCAATGGCCTGGTTATATTTACACGGACTGACCCTCTGTACCTAGCAATGGGGGTTGGGGAGAGGGAGGGAGATGGAGTGGGGGACGGGTAGGAATGGAACCGACCTCTTCCTGGTTATTTGTTCTCTATCTTCCTAAGGTAACTGGCAAATCCAGGAAAGGCTCTTTAGCCTACTTTGACCTTTGAGCGCCACCTGCTGGCTACCAAGCAGTACTAGATGGGGGAGCCTCCCGGTACTCATAAAGCCAAGAGAAACAGGCAAGCTGTGGAAACCTCAGAGCTGGCGGAAGAACTCTGGAACACTTTGTCTGCCTGTGAATAAAACGAGAGTGTCCAAAAGGGCCTGTATTTTCCTTCTGCTGGTTACAGATGGGCTGCACATGGTGTCTTACGTATGATGAGAGGTCCATGAATACTTAATTTCTCTTTTTCCCAGATCCAGCCTCCCAGCCCCAGCTCCCAGACCCCATGACTGTTCCTGCCCTCAGATCCTCCACTTGCCTGGCTCCTGGCAAAGTCCTGGGTCCAAAATTCAGATTTCCAACTGCACCAGCTCCGATGTCATCTGCCGAACACCCATCTGCTGGCTGAGGTCACCGCTGAGGCCACCATGAGGTGCTTCCCGGGGCTGCATCCTGTCTTCAAGGTACAACCTCTACCCTCCACGTCCCCCTTCACTCAGACCCCAGAGAAAGGAAACAGCCCAACAGTTGTTTAGGATTTTAAAAGCCTAAGCCATCTGGCTGGAACGATGTAAACAAAGATGCTTCAAATTCAACAAGCATTCGTATTCTTCATATTCGTATTCTTATTGTAGCAAAGAGTCTTTACAGCAATTTGTGAATGGAGGAGAGGAAGTGTGACGGATGACTGTGTCAAAATCTTGAGCCTTGCGTTTTTATTTTCAATGTTAAACTCTTTTTATGTTGAGCTAATTACAGATTCACATGCAGCTTTAAGAAATAAGACAGAGAGGTCCCATCTGTCCTATTAAGTCAAGTTACTTACCATTTATTCAGTACATGTTGCAGGGCAGCTCTCCAGAATTCTCTAGCAATCAGTATGAAGTAGAGTAGGAATATAATTTGTTAAACAAAAGTGTTGGTTCTGCTTTTGGAGAGTTACCATTTTGCTGGGAAGAAATGTGGTACATATGGGGGGGGAAGAAAACAACCAACAACAGCAACCAGAGAACAATATTTGGAAACAGTTGAAATCAAGAGAGATCACCATAGACATTATAGGATCGCTGTAGAATGTTCCACAACAACTGAGAAATCTTTAATAAAGTAGATCAAAGGGCAAAGAGAACAGCCCAGATTATTCGTGCCTACCCAAGGAGAGAGGTGGCTAAAGTCCTGCATGAGGGTGACAGGAGTGGAAGAGAGAAATCAAAAGTCTGGTGATGGAGGAAAATCACTGCAGCATGCCTGAGAGCAAGAATGAGAAAGCTAGAACAGAGGTCTAAGCTTCTGCAACACACAGGGGCACACAGGAATGGGTACTGTTGTACTGACATAGAAATACTAACATTTTATAAAAGTGAGTCCAGTATGTATTGCTAGGTGGAAGGTAGCAAAATAAAACTTACTCTTGCCTAGAAAATATTCTCAAAATCTTGAGACTTCAGATATGGAAGAGAAGGGGGAAAAAAGGATACAAGCTGATGAACCGAAGCAACTGTCAGCAACAGTAACGGCAGGAGAAGAAGCCAGTTTGGGAACAAAGATGAGGTGCTCAGTTTTAGATACAAGGAGTTTAAAGTGTTGGTAGGATGTGCAAGTTAGTGTTCGGCAGGCGGAACAACTGAGTTGTGTTTCTTTTGCCGGTCCCCACCTCCACTCCCGAACCTGGCCATGAGCAACAGTGGCCCCTCTGGGGTCATAGTTCCATAGTTCCTACATGGTTGCAGAACGTTCCATAGTACCTCAGAGTTCCAAGATTCATTCCGTGTCGACAAACATTCAAATACCCGCTATGAATGAGCCACATAATCCAAAGGCCAGGACCCCCAGGACTCCATTCCCTCTGTGTTTATACACATTTCTGGTCTTTCTATCCCTTTTACTGTCTAACCTCTGGTCTCTCAGCCTCTAAGTCTTCTGATTTCCCCATATCCTTAGAGAGCCCTAGCTCAGCCATGTTGCCTCCATGTACATCTTGATATGCACTAGTCAGTGTGTTTCTGCCAATCTGGGCCAGGTAACCTGTAATAGGGCATCCCTCGGAACACAGAATAGGAGGATCAAATGCAAAGGTCAGCAGCCTGAATCCCTAAGTGGGTGCAGCTAGACTAGCACTCCTGGAACCCATGTACCATGTGGAAGCTCCCATTTTTCTCCAAGAACACAACAAAAAGGGACACTGTAGATTCACTGCTGTTTCCACCAGGCCCATGTGCTTACAAGGGTTAAAAAAAAAAAAAAGCATAACATATAACCAAATATAACAAGATCAAGGGCCAGCTGAGAGGAAGAATCAAAGCTAGGATTAAGAGCATATAAGCAAAACAGTGTATAAAAAGATAACTCTTAAAATGTAGAGACCAAAGGCCCAATCTGGAAATTATTGGTGTCATCTCAACGTGAGGAGCCTGCCCTGGCCTGGGGTAAGGGCTGTGGGATGGCAAGGACATGACAGATACAGAGAGTCTGAATCCTTGAAACGTCTTACACATTTAGTTTATCTATGCCCCACAGCTTTCCACAAATATTTGAGGAAATTTAAATAAGGTTAACATAATACAGTTAATAAGGCAGAAACAGACATGTATGATCCATTAAAAATCACCTCCTGCCTCCAACCTTTCAGCAACCCACTCACTACCTCACCAAGCAAGAGGTGGAGTTTTAGCTTAGAACTTGCCGTGTCGGATGGGTAATAAAAGACAGTCTCGAGAAATCATAAACTCTCAGAATTTTTGCACTGGCCACTTAGAAGTTTTTCTGGAGAAACTTTGTGAGGTACAGATTGAAACAACCTGAAGACTGAGTTTCAGAAGAGGAGTGAATGAGGGACATTAAAAGACTGAGTCTGAGGTTATGAGTATTAGCATGATTGGGCTAGAGAGAAGAAAAATTGTTTAAGTTAGAGTAACAGTGGGACACTTATGGGAAGCAATTAAGCAGACAATTGAAAAAGGGGTCACTGACATCCAAATTAAACTATCAAGACTGAATGTGGGGGACTTCCCTGGTGGCACAGTGGTTAAGAATCTGCCTGCCAATGCAGGTGACACGGATTCCAGCCCTGGTTCGGGAAGATCCCACATGTCGGAGGAACTAAGCCCGTGCACCACAACTACTGAACCTGTGTTCTAGAGCCCGCAAGCCACAACTACTGAGCCTGTGCTCTAGAGCCCGTGCTCAGCAATAAGAGAAGCCCCCGCGATGAGAAGCCCACACACCACAATGAAGAGTAGCCCCTGCTCACCACAACTAGAGAAAGCCCGCACACAGCAATGAAGACCCAATGCAGCCAAAATAATAAATAAATAATAAAATTTAAAAAAAAAAAAGACTGAATGTGGGTGGGCCAAGGACTCACTCCAGTCTTCAAATCATTCCACCATAATAAACAACAAGGTCCCACTGTATACCACAGAGAACTATATTCAGTATCCTATTATAAACCATAATGAAAAAGAATATATTAAAAAAGATATATATATGTATAACTGAAGCACTTTGCTGTACAGTGGAAATTAACACATTATAAATCAACTATACTTCAATAAAAAAAAATTCCACCCTAATCTACCAGGAGAGTCTGGTGCAACGAGTCTTCTTTTACTGGGACAATCTGCCCAGGAATCACTGCATATAAGAGGCTTACTATTGCCTCTAAATCTTTGTTAATGGTGATTGCCATTTGGACTACACACCCCTAATTTTCCCATCAATCCTCTCTCTCCCTTCTTTTTACACCAGGTTCAAAATACCTTTGGGGGGTTTCCCTGGTGGCGCAGTGGTTGAGGGTCCGCCTGCCGATGCAGGGGACACGGGTTCGTGCCCCGGTCCGGGAGGATCCCACATGCCACGGAGCGGCTGGGCCCGTGGGCCATGGCCGCTGGGCCTGCGCGTCCGGAGCCTGTGCTCCGCGACGGGAGGGGCCACAGCGGTGAGAGACCCGCGTACCGCAAAAAAGAAAAAACACCTTTGGGAATCTTGGTCACATTCCTTTGATCTGACTTTGATCACTTCTTACCCCTCACTCCATCTGTACTCTTGTAAGGCTGCACTGCTGCACAACTCCAGGTGGGCACTCACATTGGATCCTCTGTGAATGGTTTCCACTGCAGTGTGTGACATGGTGGCCATCTGTAAACAGTAAGAGAAAGGATCAAGAGTTCTAATGCCAAGTCTTCTCTTTTACCTAGAAGCTCTGCTCTAGAGGTCACCATTTTGTCTCTCCCTCTTCTCCACAATATCCTAACAGCAGCTCCTGTCATTCCACTGCTGCCCCCTAGAGGGCTCTCTATTTAAACCATGAGGAATAAACTGAGGAATTAAAATGTGCGGTTTTAGTGTCTCATCTTCAGACCAGGTGGGTTATATTTTCTACGTTGTGGACTAGCTGAAATCAAAGCAACAATAACTACTTAAAAAGAGGACCGTTGACACTTAACTGAATAAAATGTTACAGCATGGAGAATTCCCTGGTGGTCCAGTGTTTAGGATTTGGCACTTTCACTGCAGGGGCCTGGGTTCGATCCCTGGTCAGGGAACTAAGGTCCCGCAAGCCACGGCATGGCCAAGAAAACCAAACCAAAACAAACAAACAAAAGAAACAAACCAAAAAACCCCTAGATGTGTCAGGTAATGATGAGGTTCAAACAACAGGCTTTGTAAATTACCAGGGACTCCTAGAGCACTCCCTCCTGTCTATCCCTGCTGCAGAGTTACTACTTTTTTTTTTTTTTTAAGCCTATACTGTATAAGTAGTGTTTCTTTCATTCCTTCTCATGGTTTATTCCTACTCTCTCACTTTGTGAAAAAACTAAAGCTCGCTTGAGATTTGCTTATTTTACTGGTTTATTTTTTAAATGTTTTATGTGTATTCTTGTTTCTCCACTTCCTACATTATCAATTTGTGTTATTTGCTTCCTCTCACTCTCTTCACGTTTAAAGCCTTATACTAACGTAAGATGTTAACAATAGAGGAAACTAGGTGTGGAGTATATGAAAACTCTCAGTACAACCTTCAATTTTGTACACTTTTTCTGTAAATCTCAGTACAATTTTTCTGTAAATCTAGAACCACTCTTAAAGTTTATTTTAAAGATTAAAACATTGGCAAGGGTATACAACAAGTTTTTTAAAGCAGAAGTCATGATTTTAATAATCAACGAGGTGGAATTCGAGCCAAGAGAGCAAGGTTACTTTATAAAGCTAAAGGGTACAACTGGAGAAAATCAATTACAGGAAAAAAACTGTAACAAACACAAATACATGGAGGCTAAACAGTGTGTTACTAAATTACCAAGAGATCACTGAAGAAATCAAAGAAGAAATCAAAATATACATAGAAACAAATGACAATGAAAACACGATGACCCAAAACCTATGGGAAGCAGCAAAAGCAGTTCTAAACAAAAAATCTTAAAATCTGTATGGAGACACAAAAGACCCCGAATAGCCAAAGCAGTCTTGAGGGAAAAAAATGGAGCTGGAGGAATCAGACTCCCTGACTTCAGACTATACTACAAAGCTACAGTAATCAAAACAATATGGTACTGGCACAAAAACAGAAATATAGATCAATGGAACAGGATAGAAAGCCCAGAGATAAACCCACGCACCTATGGTCAACTAATCTATGACAAAGGAGGCAAGGATATACAATGGAGAAAAGACAGTCTCTTCAATAAGTAGTGCTGGGAAAACTGGACAGCTACATGTAAAAGAATGAAATTAGAACACTCCATAACACCATACACAAAAATAAACTCAAAATGGATTAAAGACCTAAATGTAAGACTGGATACTATAAAACTCTTAGAGGAAAACATAGGAAGAACACTCTTAGATATAAATCACAGCAAGATTTTTTTTTTTTTTTTTTTGTGGTATGTGGGCCTCTCACCATTGTGGCCTCTCCCACTGCAGTGCACAGGCTCTGGACGCACAGGCTCAGCGGCCATTGCCCAAGGGCCCAGCCGCTGCGTGGCATGTGGGACCCCCCCAGACCGGGGCACGAACCCATGTCCCCTGCATCGGCAGGTGGACTCTCAACCACTGCGCCACCAGGGAAGCCCCAGCAAGATCTTTTTTGATCCACCTCCTAGAGTAATGGAAATAAAAACAAAAATAAACAAATGGGACCTAATGAAACTTAAAAGCTTTTGCAAAGCAAAGGAAACTACAAACAAGACAAAAAGACAACCCTCAGAATGGGAGAAAATATTTGCAAATGAATCAACGGACAAAGGATTAATTTCCAAAATATATAAACAGCTCATGCAGCTCAATATTAAAAAAACAAACAACCCAATCAAAAACTGGGCAGAAGACCTAAATAGACATTTCTCCAAAGAAGACATGCAGATGGCCAAGAAGCACATGAAAAGCGCTCAACATCACTAATTATTAGAGAAATGCAAATCAAAACTACAGTGAGGTATCACCGCACACTGGTCAGAATGGGCATCATCAGAAAATCTACAAACAACAAATGCTGGAGAGCGTGTAGAGAAAAGGAAACTCTCTTGCAGTGTTGGTGGGAATGTAAATTGATACAGCCAATATGCAGAACAGTATGGAAGTTCCTTAAAAAACTAAAAATCGGGGCTTCCCTGGTGGCTCAGTGGTTGAGAGTCCACCTGCCGATGCAGGGGACATGGGTTCATGCCCCGGTTCGGGAAGATCCCACATGCTGCGGAGCAGCTGGGCCCGTGAGCCATGGCTGCTGAGCCTGCGCGTCTGGAGCCTGTGCTCCGCAACGGGAGAGGCCACAACAGTGAGAGGACCGCATACCGCAAAAAAAAAAACAACTAAAAATCGAATTACCAGGGCTTCCCTGGTGGCGCAGTGGTTGAGAATCTGCCTGCTAATGCAGGAGACATGGGTTCGAGCCCTGGTCTGGGAGGATCCCACATGCTGTGGAGCAACTAGGCCTGTGAGCCACAACTACTGAGCCTGCGCGTCTGGAGCCTGTGCTCCGCAACAAGAGAGGCTGCGATAGTGAGAGGCCCGCGCACTGCGATGAAGAGTGGCCCCCGCTCGCCGCAACTAGAGAAAGCCCTCGCACAGAAACAAAGACCCAACACAGCAAAAAAAGTAAAATTAAATTAAATTTTAAAAAAGATCTTAAAAAAAAAAAATCAAATTACCATATGACCCAGCAATCCCACTACTGGGCATATACCCAGAGAAAACCGTAATTCAAAAAGACACATGCACCTCAATGTTCACTGCAGCACTATTTACAATAGCCAGGTCATGGAAGCAACCGAAATGTCCATCGACAGATGAATGGATAAAGAAGATGTGGCACATATATACAATGGAATATTACTCAGCCATAAAAAGGAATGAAATTGGGTCTTTTTTTTTTTTTATGCGGTACGCGGGCCTCTCACTTTTGTGGCCTCTCCCGTTGCGGGGCACAGGCTCCGGACGCGCAGGCTCAGCGGCCATGGTTCACGGGCCCGCTCCGCGAAATGTGGGATCCTCCTGGACCGGGGCACGAACCCGTGTCCCCCGCATCGGCAGGCAGACTGTCAACCACTGCGCCACCAGGAAAGCCTGAAATTGGGTCATTTGTAGAGACGTGGATGCACCTAGAGACTGTCATACAGTGAAGTAAGTCAGAAAGAGAAAAACAAATACCATATGCTAACGCATATATATGGAATAAAAATGGTACTGATGAACCTAGTGTCAGGGCAGGAATATAGACGTAGACAAGGAGAATGGACTTGAGGACACGGCAGGGAGGGGAAAGCTGGGGCAAAGTGAGAGTGGCATTGACATATATACACTACCAAATAAAATAGTTAGCTAGTGGGAAGCAGCAGCATAGCACAGGGAGATCAGCTCGGTGCTTTGTGATGACCTAGAGGGGTGGGATAGGTAGGGTGGGAGGGAGGCTCAAGAGGGAGGGGATATGGGGACATGTGTATGCATATGGCTGAGTCACTTTGTTATACAACAGAAACTAACACAGTAATGTGAAGCAATTATACTCCAATAAAGATCTATTAAAAAAAAGGGTACAATTGGCAATGAAAATGTAACGATTATGATTATCAATGTACCAAACAACATAAAAGTAACCTTCACAAAGCAGAAATTACAAAATAAGCAAGAAGAAGGAAACAGAAACGTGCTAATAAAAAAGAGGCTTTAAATTACTTGTTTCATCCAATCAAAAACAAATAATAATTTTTTTTAAAACTAAAAATAGGGAAGTTCCCTGGCGGTCTAGTGGTTAGGACTCAGCGCTTTCACTGCTGGGGCCCAGGTTCAACCCCTGGTTGGGTAACTAAGATCCTGCAAGCTGTGCAGTGAGGCCATAAAAAAAAAAATAGTTAAAATAAAAACCCTAAAAATAGAGTTGACCTAAACAATATAATTAACAAAGCAGACCTTACTGATATATATCAAACTCTGCATCCTAAAAGCAGAGGATACTTCATCCTTTCAATTGTCCAATAATATTTATTAAAATTAATCATATTTAAGTCTTTAAGAAATATTTCAAACACCCCCAAAACAGAAATAATGCAGAAAATATCCTATAATCATATTGCAACAAATGAATTTAATAAGAAAATCAAAGAGTCCTCTCTGTCCTGGAAGTTAAAAATAAAGCTCTCTTTCATATAATTGGGTCAAAATGGAAACATAACCCAAAACAAAAGAATTAATGGAAATAATAAAAATAATAATGTAAAGAACATATACCAGAATCTATGAAATGTGGCTCAAGTAGTACTCAGAGGAATACTTAATCACCTTAAATACATATTTCAAAACAAAATGGAGAAATAAGCATCTTTTTTAAAGGATAGAAAATAATAACAAAATAAACCAAAGGAAAGCTGCAGAAAGGAACAAATGAAGAAAACCAAATTATAATAAATTAGAAAACAAGAAAAACAGAAATACTATATAAATCTAAAATACTTTTTTTAAAGGTAAATAACTCATTAGCCCAATCAAAAATGAGGAAGTGAGAAAGTGCAAATATACAAAAGAACAAATAATGGAAGGAAATAAAGAGACTCTGAAAAGTGGTACTAGCATGTGGATTGAGGAGTAAGACCAGAGTGCAAACTGGCAGTGAGTTTACTATTTTTTTTTCCCTTCCAGTAGCC